AAATTATGGGGACATGAGAAGGGAGGGGAAGCCGGGCAGTGGTGGCACACGTCTTTAATTCATGCACTCCAGAGGCAGAGGCAGGTGGATCTCTGGGAGTGTGAGGCCTGTCTAGACTACAGATGGAATTCCAGAACAGCCAGGGCTACACAAAGAAACCCCATCTCTAAAATCAAGACGGGGTGGTGGGGAGCCCAAGTACCCTAGAGTGTGATTGACATCTTGCCAGCTAAGAAGCAAGAAATCCAGCACAACCAACCATGTCTGTGGGGAAGGCTGATCACAGTTAATACCCTTTATGTGCAGGCACTTTATGTTCAAACAGCAGTTAAGGCCTGAATGTATATGAGCCTGGATAGGGCTTCCTCATTCCTCTCTCTAGATATGGCATGGAATCTTGGTTTATAGTGAACATATCCTAACCAAGGATGGCACATGACTTTAATCCCAGCACATGGATGGCAGAATAAACTGAACTCCATTAGTTTGAGGTCAGCCTAATCTGCACAACAAGGAAAGACGAAAGAAATAAAAATCCTACCTTCTTATTTCAGATGGGGTAGATTTTCATTTTATCGGGTATACTCCTGAGTTCCCCTAGGACCATCCAGTGATGAGACAGTAGCTTTAAACCCCACCAAAAATCTAATATATCATTATTGCATAAACAATAGGTAACACTTTGTTGTGGAATATTAACTATGTAAAGACGTGTTACATTAATTTATACTGCGGAATATCACTTTAACTGTGTAAAGGTGTGTTACATTTGTTTATACTGGGAATATCACTTCAGCTGTGTAAAGGTGTGTTACATTTGTTTATGCTGGGAATATCACTTTAGCTGTGTAAAGGTGTGTTACATTTGTTTATGCTGCGGAATATCACTTTAGCTGTGTAAATGTGTGTTACATTTGTTTATGCTGCAGAATATTACTTTAGCTGTGTAAAGGTGTGTTACATTTGTTTATACTGGGAATATTACTTTAGCTGTGTAAAGGTGTGTTACATTTGTTTATGCTGCGGAATATCACTTTAGCTGTGTAAATGTGTGTTACATTTGTTTATGCTGCGGAATATTACTTTAGCTGTGTAAAGGTGTGTTATATTTGTTGCTGCTGCATTTGTTTAATGATGTAAAGATGTGTTGCCTTTGTTTCACCTTGCCTGCCTGATTGGTCTAACAAAAAACCTGACAGGACAACAGCTAGGCAGAAGAGGGATAGGCGGGGCTGGTGGGCAGAGAGAATAAATAGGAGAAATCCAGGCTTAAGAGAAGAAAGGAGAAGAGAACAAGGGAGAAAGACAGGGACAGGCTGGGAGCCAGAAGCCAGGCAGCCGCCAGCTAGACATGAGAAGCAGTGAAAGTAACATATACTGAAGGAAGAAAGGTAAAAAGCCCTGAGGCAAAATGCAGATAAAGAGAAACAGGTTAATTTAAGTTAAAAGAGCTAGACAGAAATAGCCTAAGTTAGGTTGAGTATCCAAAACTAATCAGAAGTCTCCATGTCATGATTTGGGAGCTGGTTGGTAGGCTAAAAGAAAAGGCCTAGTAGAACACTTAGAGAAGCCTACACTCATGCTCTCAGGTGTACTTCATTTTCTTCTGAGTCCTTCCTTTCTCCTGATCCTTGTGCTTAAACCTATGTTAAAATATCTTCAGTGGCTGGAGAGATTACTCGGTGGTTAAGAGTGTTGGCTGCTTCCCAGAGGACCAGAGTTTGGTTCCCAGTCCTTTTCTACGGGGGCTCACAACTGTCTGGAACTTGAGCTCCAGGGCACCTGATGCTCTCTTCTGGGACTCTGAGGGCATCTGCACTTATGTGGCAAACACACATAAATAAAAATAAAATAGTCGTGTGTGTGTGTGTGTGTGTGTGTGTGTGTGTGTGTGTGTGTGTGTGTGTGTTTAATAAAATCTCTACCTCTGCTTAGCTATAGTGATGGGCCTTGAATTCTTTTCAGCACTGAAGCAATGAGTTCTAATTTAGACTGACTAAAGGTCCCCAGAACCCTAGGGAACTCCCCCGGTGCTAAGGACAGCAGTGTGGAGCAGCATCCTGTGATGCCGGTAATGACCAGGGCTGGTAGTCAAGTCACTCTTGACACTTGACCAGAGGGCTCTTTATCATGGGGAATGTCTTGTGCACTTGAGGTGCTTGTGTAACTGAAACAACAATGCACCCTCTCCTAGCCATTGCTTGGTGCCAAGACCCAGGTCAAACCCAAGGGCAAAGCAAGTCTGTTTAGATGGATCCATGCAGCAGGGCTTCAGGGGTAAATAACTGAGAAGCCAAATGGCATTGCTCTCCATAGCAGCCTGCTTACCTTTCATGGTGTGTTGGTATCCTGTGCTTTCCTCTGATGTCAGCCCCCTTGAAAAGTCTCTCTCCTGGGATGCATATAAACTAGAAGACTTCAGGGGAGCATTAAAAAAAATAAAGTTAGCAAAACCGGTATGAGAGAAATGCTTGCACTTTAGCTGTACCTCATCGTTCTCAGTAAAGGAACATGTGTGAGAAGAGCTTTCTGGCCCAGCCCAACAGTTTCAAAACCATGGCAGAGAGATGAGGGTCAGAGGGAAAAACACAAAGGGAAGACTTGGATTGGGGGCCAGGCAGCAGTGGGGTGTCCCTCAGCTGCTAGGGATCTGGAGCAGTGACTGAACTTCTTTGCTCCCTGGGGTTCCTTAAAGATGAAGCCAACTGCCACATGCAATGTGCACTGTGGCTCCCAGAAATGGCTCCAAGTCCACTGCCATCATTTCTAAGTAGTCTGACAGTGCATGGCCTTCATCAATGTTTCTTTGAGCAACTACTGTAGTATCTGGCACTTGTCAATCACTGAAACTGAGTCCCCGTCTTGAAGCCCTCCCAGATTAGCGGGACACTTTCTTAACAGTGGCTCAAACTAGAACCTGCTCTCCCACACAGTCATGCTAAGGCTCAGGACTCCTGAATTCCCCCACTTTCAGGTTTCACGCTAAGGATACTGTCCTCAGGGACCAAGATGGCAGCCAGAGCTCTAGTGACCATAGTCACACTCCAGGTGGCTGGGTATGAGGAGAAACTGGGGAGGTTCCCATAAACTGTCACTTGGCACTGACTCGATATGCACAGATGTAGGACAAAGAAATATCTTTATTATGGTCATGTACTTGTACAGTAACAACAAAAAATCCTAAGTGTGACAACAAATGACGGAGAGAATTTGAGGGAGAGGAGCCCTGAGTCATTGCTGATGTGGGGTACAAATTACTGTACCTTTTATGAAAACCAGTCTAGGGGTTTCTCAAAAAAAATTAAAACTAGGACTTCCATATTACCCTCACTCCTGGGCAGATACTCAGAAACTGGACACCTACCATATAAACACGTTAAGTGATGCTCTATTTACTTTAGCGGGGAAATGGAAGTTGACCAGCTGTCCACCAATACATGAATGAATAATGAAAATCTGGTACACCCTCACATTTCTGGGAATTGGCCAGTCCATGTCCTCAGCTTTCATTCCTGCCACAACTTCCTCACTTACAAAGCTCTGCATCATCCATCGCCTCCCTTCCCTTCCTTCCTTCCTTCCCTTCCCTCCCTTCTGTCTGTCTCAGGGCCTTTATACAGCTGTCCCTGCTTCCTAGAAGGCTCTCTGTTCATTCTCCCCATAGCTCCTGAGGTTCTCAGTTCACAAGGCACCTTCTAGGAGCACCATTTGTCACATGCAAGCTCTTCCTCTCCACACTCCAGAGTAAAAGACTCACACTACTCTCCTCTCTACAACCCTTCCCATGCACCACACCTGCCCAAGACAACAAGACAGAATAAGCAAGGAGAGGAACTGGAGTTCTGGTTCCAGGACTGAGGGCAGGAGCAACTGCTTCCTAAAGAACATGGGGAACACCCAGGACAGCCGGTCCCAAAGAAAACTGTTTCTGAAACAGAAGCTCTCAGTGGTCTGAAACTCAGTGATTAGACTGACTGACTGGCTAGCAATTGCTGGCCAGGGATCTGCTGCCTCTGCCTCCCCAGCACTCAGATGAAGGCATACACCACCATACCTAGTCTTTTTTACATGGGTTCTGGGGATTGACCTCGGGTCTTGATGCTTTTATCAACAGAGTGCCATTTTCCAACTCAAATTCCTCTTTATAGAGGCTGCCTTTCACCATCTTCTTTAAAACTCATTAGAGGGGGCTGGATGCCGGGCGGTGGTGGTGCACGCCTTTAGCCCTAGCACTCGGGAGGCAAAGGCAGGCGGATCTCTGTGAGTTCAAGACCAGCCTGGTCTACAGAGCAAGTTCCAGGACAGCCTCCAAAGCCACAGAGAAATCCTGTCTCGAAAAACCAAAATAAATAAATAAAGGGGGCTAGAGAGATGTCTCAGTGGTTAAGAGCACTGGCTGCTCTTCCAGAGGTCCTGAGTTTAATTCCCAACAACCACATGGTGGCTTACAACCATTTATAGTGGGATCTGGTGCCCTCTTTTGGCTCAAAGTTTTTGCATGCAGACAGAGCACTCATACATAAAATAAATAAATCTCAAAAAAAAAAAAAGCTTATTAATGGAACAGAAGACCTGACCTAGTCTTTGACAGGTTTCTGGGAGCTCTGATTTATAACTGAGTCACAGAAGAGATGGATCTATTACAGGTCCTCAATGTGTAAGCATGACGAGGACAAATGGAGAAACCACGGCTTGGTGGCCTGGATTCTGAACTCTCAGATAGTCTGCTGCCCCTAAGATGCATGCTTTTTTTTTTAATACCTTATTTAACTTAATTTTATGTGCATTTGTGTAAGGATGCCAGATCCCTTGGAACTGGAGTTACAGACAGGTGTGAGCTGCCATGTGGGTGCTGGGAATAGAACCCATGTCCTCTGGAAGAGCAGCCAATGCTCTAAACCACTGAGCCATCTCTCCAGCCCCAAGATACATGTTTTGAATGCAGCCAGCTGCAGTGACTGAGCAGATGGGGAATGGTCTGCTCATGCTAAGAGGCTCTGTCGCCAGTGCGTTTAAATACTCCCTCTGTCCTAGTTTGACACTCATATTTCAGCTGCTTCCCAGGTTCCAGTTTTTCATTATTTCTATTTCCAGGACAGAAGATGTGATCTTTTTGCAATAAATGTCAGAGGCTGTGTTGCAATACAAAGAAACCTGTTTGTTCTGGGCATCATGACTGAAAGTGCCTAAACACTGAGTAACATTTTGATGCTGATTTCTGAGGGACAGTTGGCCTCAGCAATGGCCATTCTGTCTGTGCTTGGGGCAGGAAGGATATTTATAGCGCTCCATCCCATGCTAAGAACAGGGCCCAGAGCTCATAAAGGGTGACCATCATGAAGTCCCAATACCATATGGAGTGCCGTCTTGGTGGCAGATCTACCTTTGAAGATGAAGGAGTCCAGACAGTGGCAGGAGACAACCCTCCCTTATAGAGTTGACATACTAGCAGAGGGAGAATTCCAACCAGCAAAAAACCCTCAGTGGGAATGGGAGACTGTTACAAGAGGCACACAGGGCACGGAGTGGGTTACATCATCTCTGTGCTGAGGCCCATACTGAGTGCTCTGGGGTAAAGACACGGCATCTAGCATGGCTTCAGGCCTCATGTGGTGTCAGACATGGGTACCCAGACATCAGAAAAAGGCATGTGGACCTAGGGCTCCAAGATCAGTGTGGGCATGGCCATGTTCAGAGTGATGACTAGACCACAAGAATGCTCAGAAAGAAGGGACTGGGCTTGCTTCATCAGGAGCACCCATTAGATGGGTGTTACGATAAATCTTTCCACCAAAAGCCACCGAGCCCCACCGCCATGCGCGCACGAGTTAGGGCCCAAATTAATACACAGAAACTTGTATTAAGTTCAAATGCTGCTTGGCCAATGACTAGGATTCTCATCTGTTAGCTCAGTCTTAATTATCATAAATCTATATATTTTATAAGACTTATAGAGGATGCCTTTCGCTGGCGCCCTCTCTTGCCGGTGGCTCACACCCCGCCACTGGAGGATGCGAAGGGGAAAAGGGACACTTCCTGTTTCTCCTTGCTTAAATATGAGTCGTCTTGCTATGTCACTTCCTGCCTGGATCACCACTTCTCTACTACATTTCCCAGAATCCTGTTTGACTCCTAGTCCCATCTAACTTGCTGTCTCATTGGCCAAACAAGTACTTTATTCAATAATCAATAAGATGAACATACACAGTACATTCCCCATCAGATGAGGCCAAGAACAGCAACTCTGAGCATGAGTGAAGGGAATCAACAGCCATGGTACGCTGCGACTGTGGTGCAGTAGTAGAATCCAGACCTTGCCTAGCAGGGTCTGGATTCCACTCTCAGGAGGGAATGGGTAAGGTGGGAAGAAAAACAGGGTGGGAGGAGACACAGAGACAGAAGGACTGAGACCCAGCTGTGAGCCTGGAGCCACGAGTCTGTGCCATCTGGGATTCAGCTTGGACTCAAAAGCTGGGTCTGTTCTTCTCATGTTCCTATAGCTGTCTCCATGTTCCTCTCATGCTCCTGTGGCTGTCGCCATGTTCCTCTCATACGTGCATAATCTAAGGCCTAACAGGCCGTTTTTGAGAAAATGGGGTACAACAGGACAGGATGTGCCTTCCACAGAAGTCGACAGGTACTCCAGGAAACCCACAGTTGTAGCAGTTTCAGGACTCTGTGGAGTTGAGGGATCAGGTCTATGCTCTCCACTTACCTGACTGGGAAGGAATTTCTTGTGTTTGTTCTGTTCCACCTTCTGGATAGAGTTTTTCTTACAAGTGAAGAGGGAGAACTCTCTTCCTAAGAGAGAAAAGCTGCTCTGTGGCATCTGGGCACTGCACATGAGCTTGCAGGAGCACTAAGAAAACCTTCCCAGAAGCATTGACAGAAGCAGAACCAGAACCAGAACTGGCCCCAGGCAAACACAAGCTTCTGCTCAAGGAGGCAAGCAAAGAACAGTGTCAACAAGGTCATATGTGCAAGGCACAGTGCACAACAAAACAAAGTTACTGCTTCCCAAAAAAACTAACAACCTAGAATTCTACAAAACTGAGCCAAGTACCAGACACAATGTTCTTTTGTTTTTCAGACAGCATTTCTCTGTGTAGTCCTGACTTGTCCTGCTGGAGACAGGGTCTCTCTACTAACTCTGGCTGTAGACAAAGTTCTACTTGCCTCTGCCTCCAAGTGCTGGAACTTAAGGTGTGCACCACCACACCTGGCCTCTGACTCCTCCTAAACTTGCTTTGCTTGCTTTTGAAACACTGTTACTATCTAGCCCTGGCTGGCCTTTAACTCTGTAGAGACCATGTTGGCCTTTAATTTGCAGTCCTCTTGCCTCAGCTTCCCAAGTGCTGGGACTAGAAGCATGTGCCACAGGCCTGGCTGGGTTAAGTTTGAAAAGGAAAACCCAGGGCTGGAGAGATGGCTCAGTGGTTAGAGCACATTCTGCTCTTCCAGAGGACTTGGGTTCAATTCTCAGCATCCACAGGTGGCCACAAACATATGTCACTCCAGTTCCTGGGAACCCAAGCACACACATGTGGCACAAGACATACATGCAGGCAAAACACTCATACACATAAAATAAATCTAAAAACAATTTAATAGAAAAATATTGAAAACAGCATAAAAGTAGAAGACAATCTAGGGCTGGGGTGTTACAGGGTTAGAGTTCAGGGTTAGCATGTGCTAAGGCTCTGGGTTTGAGCCCTGAAACCACCAAAAACTAAGAAAAACTATCAATATGACAAATTGTTCAACTTGTGATGCATCAAAACAAAAAAATACTGAGCATAGCTAAACATTGGAAACAGGAATAAAGATAATTTAGGGATTGGTGTTTTTTTCATTTTTTTTTCTCTCCACACACACACACACACACACACCCACAAAAAAAAAAAAAAAAAAAAAAAAAAAAAAAAAAAAAAAAACTGATCTACAGAGCGAGTCCCAGTCTATCGAGGGATACACAGAGAAACCATGTCTGTACCTGCTGCTGAGGACAGCATGTCTGTTTGCTTAGGACAGTGACAGAGGCAGGGTCTGGTTCTGGAAAGGGAGGGGATGTCTTTTACAAGTTCTAGACTGATGCTGCAGCCTGCTCTCTGAAAAGGGGTACAGCCAGGCTCTTCCTTGGAACCCCAAACATGAGGCTTCAGTATGGTCAAACTCAAAAAAAGCCTCCTGTCTCAGCCTAAGTGCTTATACTAGAGGTGTGTGCCACCAAGACATGTCCTTGACATAACATGCTGAGGAAAATAAAAAAGGTGGCATTGTGCAAATTACTCCTCTGACCATCAGTGTCCTTCCTCATCTGTGATGTGCATGGTGTTCACTTGGTTGTCACGAGGATGAAACAAGATACAGAGGTTCCAGCAGGTCCCAGGTCCCAGTAAACTCCTAAGTTCCTTTATCTAGCTTTCCATATTCTACAGTACACCATACAGACTGAATAGAGTACAGAACATGCAGGCCTCATAGATGGTACTAGAACATACAGACATAGAGTATAGAACACACAGGCCTCATAGACAATATTAGAACATGCAGACTGTCTTAGTTAGTTTCTATTACTGTGAAGAGACACCATAACCATGACAACTCTTATATAGGAAAACATTTCATTGGGGCTGGCTTAGTTTCAAAGGTTTAGTCCAGCCAGGCAGTGGTGGCCTTTAATCCCAGCACTCGGGAGGCAGAGGCAGGCGGATCTCTGTGAGTTCGAGACCAACCTGGTCTACAAGAGCTAGTTCCAGGACAGCCTCCAAAGCCACAGAGAAACCCTGTCTCGGAAAAAAAAAAACAAAAAACAAAGGTTTAGTCCATTAATTATCATCATGGCAGGGCATGGCAGCATTTAGGCAGACATGGTGCTGGGAAAGGAACTGAGTGTTCTGTATCTTGGTCCACAGTATTAAGTAAACTGTCTTACTGGGTGTAGTTTGAGTTTAGGAGACCTCAAAGTCCACCCCCACAGTGACTCACTTCCTCCAACAGTTAAGCCACACCTATCCTAACAAGGCTATACCTCCTAATAGTGGGATTCCCTTTGGGAGCCATTTTCTATCAAACCACCACACAGACTGAATAGAGTATAGAACACGCAGTCTCATAGATACTAGAACATACAGACTGAACAGAGTATAAAACACGCAGGCCTTATAGATGACAGAACATACAGACTGGATAGAGTATAGAAAACAAGGCTTCATAGATGATAATAAAACACACGGACCTGATACAGTATGGGAGAATAGACAGACAAGAGGATAGATTTGCTTGTTTGCTTATAGCTCTATGGATGGGACTCATGGTCTTGTACCTACTAGGCAATCCCTGTGCCAGAACTGGGTATCCCCAACCTTTCTACCAAATGTAAAATTCTACTCCCCATATTCATAAACACTGGTATTTTATTCATTTGATGACCAGTTTGGAAGTCTATGAGAGAGAACCTGGTGGGGACATCAATGCCCTGGTACTCTGCCTCAGTTACACGGTAGCTGGGTTGTGTAAGGGGGCAGAAGAGATGGCCAGAGCGGGGAACTTACCCCTTATAAGTCGACTGCTCTGCAACATTTCTTCTCTCCGGAACCTCTCTGGATCCAGTTCTGAGTAGTCCCAACTGTCATAGCTCTGTGGACAGGGATATGTCCCTAAAAGAAGCCAAGAGAATGGAAACCAAGAGGGGAAGCAGAGGCCTTGAGCCTCCTACTGGTAACAGGGAACCAGGGATCTGCTACCAGCATTGTCCTGGCCTTGTCACTTCCTCTCTAGAGGGTTTCTTCACCTAAAGAATGGGGACAATGCTACTCATCCTGCCATCTCCTGGTGCCTGGTGTGACTCCGTGACAAGTGCTAATGAAGATGCTGCAGTTGCCCAGTGTCCTACCTGTCTCCCATTGTGATGGCTGGACAAAGAGCTCCCTTCCCCAGGGGCAGGGCTAGGGCAGTCATGTCTGTGTTCCCAGTGCTCAGCAAAGGTTTCTTCAACACACTCTCAGGCTAAGTTTAGCACCAAAAATGATGTTTCCAAGGGTCACTCAAGAAATCTGAGCCACTGTGCGACACTGCTGCTTTTGCTCGGCAATAGGAGCACACAGGAGGTTTGTTCCTGGTGATTAGTTAGTCAGGCACCAGAGAAAAGGAGCGTCAGGAAGAAGGTTTCCACAGTGACCCAAGACCTAGCTTTGGAACAGAACAACCCTGGGTCTAAAACATGACACTCGGTTGTTTGCTATAAAATTTTTTTTTTTTTTTTTTTTCCAGACAGGGTTTCTCTGTGGCTTTGGAGCCTATCCTGGAACTAGCTCTTTGTAGACCAGGCTGGTCTCAAACTCACAGAGATCCACCTGCCTCTACCTCCCAAGTGCTGGGATTAAAGGCGTGCGCCATCAACGCCCGCTCTTGAACTTTTTAACCCTTCATGTTCAAAGGGCTAAAAAAGATGTGCAGTGAAGAACTCACACAGCAGGCCCAAGGCTGCTGGCCTTAGAAAGGCCCACAAGGCTAGGCCTTGGCTGGGGTCTGGAAACACAGATGGCAAATAGTTCCTTATACTGACACAAAACTACTTTTAATGAGTGAGCTATTGTTCCAGGGCTGTCAATATACAGTGTGGCGTAGCTAAATGCCAGCCTTCCAGAACTGAGATATCAGATAGAGATGTCTCCATGATGAGCCTGAATGGAAACCTTGGCCACTGAATCTCTGCTGAACCTCTCCTGGGCAGAGACACCACATACTAATAGCTATATCTCCCTGGCAGGTAAACAAATGGGTTGTGTGACTCCTTGTCACACAGGCACTAGGCAGCCTACACAAGTGTGCCCCTCCTCCTCTATGATTCAGCCATATTTCCTACTGGTTACTGTAAGGCTTCGCCATGGTGACAAAGCTCATGAGGAAGTGACCTTGTTACCTTCTTGCTCCCAACATAAACTGTCAAAGTTGCCTGTTTTGCACAATATCTAACCAACAAAAATCCTCACGACAAATAGCATCATTCAATGATCTCAGGAAGGTTCTAGACCAAGATAGGGAAGTCAGGGAAAAGAATGGAGATATCTGGGAAAGCCAATGTGGAGGTGTCTCAGTGTGTGCTGAAGTGGGCTGTGGTGGCCACATGGGTCATGCTGCTCTGGGGTCTGTGTCACGTGGATAACTAACAGGGCTGAACTGGAACTTGCTGCCTTGCTCCTTGTAGTTGTGGTGGGGCACAGGCTCAGATCAGGCAGCCATGTCTCACAACTGTCTAAAAGGAAAGGGGAATAGGGCTGAAGCTCAATTCTGTCTCATTCTCATCCCCTCTCTCCCTCCCTTGCTCCTTCCTTCCCTCTTTCTTTCTCTCTGGTGTTTTGAGATGGGTCTAAGTAACTCTGGTTGGCCTCACACTTGCCATGTAACCCAGGCTGGCCCAAACTCATAGCAATCTTCCTGCTTCTGCCTCCTGAGTGCCAGACTGCAAGCATGCACTACCACACCCAGATTTAACTTTCTTTATAGCTTTGGAGCCTGTCTTGGACCAGGTAGACCAGGATGGCATTGAACTCACAGAAATCCACCTGACTCTGCCTCCTGAGTGCTGGGATTAAATGGGTGCACCACTACTGTCTGGCATTTGTGGAGGTTTTTAAGGCAGGGTCTTGCCATGAGTTCAGACTGGCCTTGAACTCACGAAATCCCTGCCACAGCCTCTCAAACACAAGGGATGCAGTATGCAATACTAAGCAGACTCTTCACTGTTAAGGAAAGAACAAGAAAGTTGTCTTGATGCAAAGTGTTAGGCAGCTGAAAAACACAGCCAGCCTCTGCTGGAAAATATTTTGTACCAACTTCCTTCTCTAGTGGGTAGGAACCTCTTTCCTCTCACCTGAGACCCACAGCTCCATGGTGTCACAAATTGCTGACTTGAATTCATGGGTATTGAACCAGGACTGGGGAAAGCAGCAGCAGAAGCTGGTGTACAGGGCTTTGCTCAGAAGTGATGGGAGCCTCTGGGAGGAAGCAGAGTTCAGCATCATTCCCTGTGTGTCTGCCCTTGTAAGAGAGACCTGGCTGAGCCAAGAACCTAGGACCAAATTCTTTCCCAAAACCAGGCTACCTTCCTTTCCTCCCCAACTCTGGGAGTCACTGAGGATGCTCCTCAGGAACCAGGCTCTGTTCAGCCAGCAACCTCCACCTTCCTCCAGCACGCCTCCGCAGTGTTCTACCGCTCAGTGCTTCTGCACTCTGTCCAGGCACAGCCAAGGAAATTGCAAGATCAGAGCCATACACACCAACATACACATGCATTTCCCTATTACTGTCTCTCCCAAATGGGATCAATTTAGCTTTGTTTGAGACAACTTACAAAAACCCTCTCTCATCCTCCAGAATGCTGGAATTACAGGTGTGACCCATTGTACAAGCTTAAAGGGGGTCTTCTCCTCTCCTCTCTTCTCTGTGTGATGCTGGCGACTGAACCTAGGACCTCACATCTGTCTCCGGGACACACCCTAGCTCCAAGGGCATTCAGTTATCATTTTCATTTCTGTTTTGTTTTGTGACTACATTGTTCTCCTATCCATACTTCTTCCTTGGTAAAATTCTCATTTATGGACTTTGCCCATGGATCTATGAGACGTCTCATTTTTACAAACTTGCTTTAGACTTGAGTTTTTGCCTGCATATATGTCATATATGTCCATGTAGCACATGTATGCTGGTGTCTGCAGAGGTCAGGGAAGTACACAGGGTCCCCTGGAACTACGTCATTAAAGATGGCTGTAAGCTTACAAGGTCCCCTGGAACTACAACTAAAGATGGCTGTAAGCTTACAGGGTCCCCTGGAACGACAATTAAAGATGCTTGTAAGCTTACAGGGTCCCCTGGAACTGTCATTAAAGATGGCTGTAAGTGACCACATAGGTTCTGGGAAATAGGCCAGTGTCATTTGTAAGAACAAGAGCTGTTAACTGCTGAGCCATCTCTCCAGTCCCAAGATGTTGAATTCTTCTCACTCATTTGCAAGAGTTCTTTATGTTGTGTAACAGAGATGCCACCAGGAGCTGGAGAATTGGCTCAGTGATTAAGAGAATTAGCTGCTCTTGCAGAAGACCCAGTTTCAACTCCCAGAACCCACAAGGCTACTCACAGCCATCTGCAACTTTAGTTCCAGAAGATCTAGTGCCTTCTTCAACCTCCACAGATACCAGGCATGGACATAGTGTACAGACATACATGTAGGCAAAAACACTTGTTTTTAAAACATTAAAAAACACATCTAAAAAAAAAATTCCACCAGTATTTTTGTGTAGTTTGTTATTTACATCTTAATTTTCTGTGTTGTAGTTAAAAAAAAAAACTATATAGTCAATGGATAGGGATAGTTACACAGGCTTGTAATCCTATCACTTGGAGATTGAGGCAGGAGGACGGAGAATTTGAGGTTAGTCGAGACTACATAGACAGTTTGAAGCTAGACTGGGCTAGAGTGAGACCTTGTCTCACAAAAAATTATGTATGTATGTATGTATGTATGTATGTATGTATGTATGTATACATACATATATGCTGTGGCTACATAGTTTAATCTATCAGTCTTTGCTTTATGGCTACTTCTCCTGAGCCATATTTACACTGTCCTTTCTCACCTGCAAATTATCTAAATTTGGACACATTTTCTTCCAACAATCTCTTTAGTTCATATACACATGCACACAAAAGGTACATAGGTGTTTACACTTCTTGTTCTAACATTACAAGCTTACTTAAATGCTACAGAAACGTGAAACAGAATAGCAAAGAGGATGGAAGAATGGTGGAGCAGTTAAGAGCACGGGCTGCTCTTCCAGAGGACCCCAGTTCAATTTCCAGCACCCACCCGGTGGCTCCCAGACAGTTGTAACTCCAGTTCCAGGGAATCCAAAGCCCCTTCTGACCTTTGCTGGCACTATGTGCACATTGTACATACAGATACATAAGTAAAACACCCACATACATAAAATAAAAAGGTTTTAATTCTTAAAAGAAAAAGACATAGGGGGCTGAAGAGATGGCTCAGAGGTTAAGAGCACTGCCTGTTCTTCCAGAGGACCTGAGTTCAATTCCCAGCAACCACATGGTGGCTCACAGCCATCTGTAATGAGAACTGCAAATAGAACACTGTATACAAAATAAATAAATCTTAAAAAAAAATGTAGAAAAGTGAAATCTCTTAGTACCTCACTCCTTAGAGAGATAACCACTGCTAAGAACTTGCTAAAATATTTTCCAGATTTTTTTCTATTCTTGGGTGTGCATGTGTGTGCATATCATCTAGTGGTGAGAATACAATGAGAACTTTGTCAATAAGTGATTTCATCATCGTGTAAACATCACAGACTGTACTTACACAATCTATAATGGCTTGTCATCTATATATATACGTCACAAATATACATGATATAATCTCATGGAACCACTGCCAGAGATGCCATCTATCATGAACTGAATTGTTTATTTTTTCAAGGCAGGGTTTCTCTGTGGCTTTGGGGCCTGTCCTATAACTAGCTCTTGTAGATCAGACTGGCTTTGAACTCACAGAGATCCGCCTGTCTCTGCCTCCCAAGTGCTGGGATTAAAGACGTGCGCCACCAATGCCCAGTTTGAATTGTTTGTTACAACATGTGTGATTGCTATATACACATAGTTTTAAGACACTGAGTTGAATAGCTTGTGTCCGTGCCTCCCTCTCTCCCCACCCCACAACCCCACTAAAAACATATTGTTGCCTCTTCGCAGTGACTGTATGACTCAGTCATTCTTTTTTGCAATGGCTTAATTATAAGCTAGGGCACTTTTACTCCCTTATGGAAAGCCTGTTTGAAGCACTCTCTTGACAGTAAAGGTGTTTTCTAAGAGGGAGGTGACACTTACTTTTATGAGTGCCTCTACATAGTGGGACCGGACTGTTTTGAACAACAGGAAGGCGTAATTTAGAGCTATTCGGTCAAACAGCTTGTTCTGGATCTCCTTTTTTGGCTGCCAGGTGAGAGACAGGCACAGAATTACCAGCATGCTTGCTGCAGCTGCCAAAGCAATGCCATGCTTTTTGGTTTGTTTTATCAGACATGGCCTCACCAGGTGACCCCAGGCTGGCCTTGAATATTCACCACCACACCTGGCATGGGTCTGAAATTCAGGCAAAGCATTGCTCTCATGTCAGAAATCTTACTCTCTAGAGCAGTGGTTCTCAACCGAATGCTGCAACCCTTTAACACAGTTCCCTCTTGTTGTGGTGACCCCCAACCATAAACTTATTTTCATTGTTACTTCATAACTGTAACTTTGCTACTGTTATGAATTGTATTGTAAATATCTGATATGCAACCCCTGTGAAAGGTCATTTGACCCCCTCAAGGGGTTGCAACCCATGGATTGAGAACCACTGATATAGACAGTTAATTTCATATGCTTTGAGAAATGAGCTGCTTGTCTGCCGTCCACATTTATGAAGCACATATGACATGTCAGTGAAGGAAAACTCCTAAGTGTAGGCCAGGAGGTCTCAAGTTCTCCTCTCACCCCTGTCCTGGACCCCACTACTTAGGGGACCTGCAGGGAATTGGGTAACAGCTAAAGTTCAGGTACATGTCTGGGGCCTGAGTAGGGATGTGACAGATTGAGTCTGCAGAGATGACTCATAAGAACAGAGGGACTTGCTGCTCACACTAAAGACAGGACTTGGTTTTCCATAGGAAAGCAAGGCAAGTGAGGGAGGAGACACAGATTCACATTTACCTGGTACCGTTCATGAAATATCCACCAAAAGCTGTCCAGCCACATGGCGCTGAAGAAGGGAGAAGACAGGAACTTCTCTAATTCTCTGTCTGAACAGTAAGACTTGAAAAGAAGTGAAATTGGCATTAGTATTGTGGTCATTGTTATTATTACTGCTATTGTTGCTCAAGGTAGGGTCTCACTATGTTACCCATGCCTGGAGTCTGTGATTCTCCTGCCTCAGCCTCCTGAGGGCTGAATCCCTAGTAATGACAACAAACAAACCAAAAAGGCCCCTAACATTTCAGTGAATCTGCATGATTTCCATGGCCCTATGCTAAGTGACATTAAGCTTTCTCTTAAGCTGGCTGGAATCTTTGAGCATGCACTATTGTCACATACTAGGAAATGGAGGCCCCACAGTTCAGGACATTGAGGACCACAGAGTTCAAAGGACTTACAAAAACCAATTTGGCCAGCAAGTGGCAGAGCCCATACTAGGAACCCACAACTCTTTATGGAGGCACCTAGGTACCTCTCCCTCTCACCTCTAGACAGCAACAGTTGCAAACCTGTGTGGCTATTACACAAAGACAAAGGGCAAAGTCACAAGATTCTACTTAATCAGTAATAAATATATGTAAATCAAATTTAAAACAATTATTCACGAGCTCAGAAGAACAGAAATTTTAGTTTGTATTGTCCCCATCATCTAATATGTATTACTGAATGATGCCTGTGTGTCTGCTACTGGATCATACACCTTCATTCTTCATTTCACTCAACTGGGACTGACTCAACACAGCCAGACAGCAGGAAGGAAACAGGAAGATGGGAAGGAAGAGGAAGAGAAGGGGAGGAAAAGAAAATAAGGGAAGAAGAGAGATAAATAGAGACAGGGAGATGGCTGGGGGTGGGGGTGAGGTGCAGCAGTGAGAACAGCTGCTGTGGTAGTCCCAGGAATGGAGGGCTGACTAGTTAAGAGCTAATGGATCAGTGACCAATGACCAGAGGTGTTTGGGGGACAGAGATTATGCAACCATAAAACATGAAGAGGCCTAGCTACATGGTCACCAAGAGCACTCTGAGCAACTTCCCTCTGCAGGCCTCCACACAGTTGTCACCTGCCTCTGGCATTACCTCACATAGGCAGAGCATCTTTGGGCACTGTCACTCTTCCCTCCAAAGCTTTATGCATGCACAGCTCTCAAGGTGCCTATCCTAATCCTAGTTGCAGTCTATGGCACTGCTCTGTTTCCTATCTACTGCCATGTGAACAAGCAGCCACCACTTCTCACTGCCACAGACAGAGATAGATCCATTTGGCTTTGCCATCCCACCATGATGTACTAAAAATTTCTCTGAAACCATAAGTTCTCAGAGATAAGAAATAAACAAATAAATAAAACTTTCTTTCTACCAGGTGATGGTGGCTCACGTCTGTAATCCCAGAACTCGAGAGGTAGAGGCAGGTGGATCTCTGTGAGTTCAAGGCTAGCCTGGTCTACAAAGTTCATTCCAGGACAACCACAGCTGTTACCCTGTCTCTGGGTGGGGAACACACCTTTCTTTCCTTACATTGTCTCCATTAGGTATTTTGTCACAGGGATGAGAAAAGCAACTGATAAATCCCCATCATGTCATCAAATTAGGAATCCATCAGTACACTGATGATGAAGGCAGAGCCCTCATAGCCAATCACTCCCCCAAAGCCCTATTTATGAACATTACATTTGGGACCAAGACCTTAGCACATGAGCCTTGTTGGGGGATACTTCACAACCACACCATAATTGTTCTGACTGGAAAGTAATAGTAGTCAGGAGGCTTAGTGACGTGTCACAGTGCAGTTGGCCAACAGAGCAGCAGATCGCCCACAGACAGTCATGTATCTAGGAAGACACCTACTCCAGCTGTTTTTAGTAGAACACATGATCAAAACATACTACAAGGGCTGGCCAGACAGCTGGGCAGGTAAAAGGCCTCTTGTCAATACTGATGACTGGTTTCCATCCCTCACACAGAGTGTCCTCTGACCTCAACACACATGCGTGCACAGCTAAAGCAAAGCTGGCCCCTTGCTCTCTTCCTTACTTTGCCACTAAGAGGGTTTTTCTCAGACCGGATCACATTGCCCACCATGTCACAGAAGTCCACACCATTGGGCAGCTTGGTGGGCTTAGTTTCATCAAACTCTGGATGTTGATATAGCTCTGCCAGCAGATTCTTTTCTGCTGTTTTCTGAAGGAAAAAGAAAGCATACAATGAAAACAGTGTCCATCATCTTGACAGTTTAAAACAATAACATGCCTCTCCCTTCCACACACAGGCAGTGCAACAGACTCATAGTTAGGGAGCAGACAAGGGCTTGCTGACCCCAGCACCACTCCCCAGACCTGCTTATATCAGTTGTTTCCTGTCAAGGCTTTGAGCAGAGATTTCCAAATACATTTATGTTATTTTAATCCTCCCCCTCTCCCAACTGTCTCTCCAGTACACACACACATTTAAGTACTACTTTAGCTACCTAGCCTTACTCTAGAATACTCCAGGGTCTCTCTCTCCCTCCCTGTGTATGAACATATATATTTATTTTCTCAAAGTTACCATTTAAGCTGCTACAGTTTAATCGACTTCTCCCTGATTACTGCCAATAATTACTTTCATTAATATCTTAGAGCACATAATCCCCTCCCCTTTGGGTCATTTATTTAGCATGATTTTCAAGACAGCGGTTTTTCTCTGTGTAGCCCTAGCTGTCCTAGAACTCACTTGGTAGACCAGGTTGGCTTCGAACTCAGAGATCTGTCTGCCTCTGCCTCCCAAGTGCTAGGATTAAAGGCATCCACCACCACTGTCTTGCCTCCATGATTTTCTTAAAACAGTAATATTGTATCAAAGGATGTAACTGTCTCAATATATGGTATTACTTAATATATATCATTAAATTAATTTTTATAGTCAAACTCAAACATGACAGTTGATAAAAATAAACACAGGAAAATGCAGGCAAGCAGAATAAGGGGTCCAACCACCATCATCCACTGCACCTACTGGCTACACTAGGGTGGGCTAGTTGTTTACTTTTTCTAAACTGGCTGTGAGAGGGGACAATGAGAGAGTGGCTTTCTGAATGACTATGCTGATCCTTAATCAGAGGTCATCCTGCCATTTTCTCAATGTGCCACCTCAGGCAGGACATTTAACCTACTCAGGCACTTTCACGACAGACTCAACCACCAGGCTTCATGCTGTTTTGGAATTTACTAAGTTAAAAGTTACAAAAAGATAATGGAAATAAGAGCAATCGAGATGGGTTCTGTAAGTAAGGATGTCAGCTGCCAAGTCTGATGACCTGAGTTCAAGCCCCAGGACTCACAAGACAGAAGAGAGAACTGACTTCTGTAAGTTGTTCTCAGGCCTCCTCCACATGTATGCCATGACATGTATATCCCCACACGCACATACAAAATTAATAAAGTATTTTTTTCAAAAAAGGTAATGCATTGTTTCCCAAGGCTTTGGGTACAGGGGATCTGGATAGTTTAAGTAACCATCTTTGGGGGTTCTTTATGAAATAAAAAAAAAAAAATTGCAATGCTGGACACAGAACCTGGGGCTCTGTGCACGCCAGACAAGTAGTCTACCCCTGAGCCACACACAACCCCAGCCCAAGGTAGTAAATCTCCACAATAACAGCTGTGGATGGGACTTGCTGGCAATAGAGGGGGGCTGGCCTTGGGTCGGAGAACTGAGTGGAAGGCTGCACCTTTCCTGTGACATGCTGCATGACCCTGGACCATTGTCTCGGCTTCCTGGAATGTCTGCAGTGATTGATCACTATAACCAGTCTGGCTGGTGAACAGAGTGGTGACACTGGACCCTCCTGTGTTGGAAGGCACATGGAGTTGTGTGGTACCATCATGGTGAAACTGGAGGACTCTGTTTCTAAGTAGAGATGCCTCAGATCTAACAGTAACAGACACAGGGCTCTGCAAAACTCCCGTTGCCAAGGCTGGGCTCAGCTCTGCTTTTCAAGAATGACATGAGCAATTCTAGAATTAAAGTATTGCCAGATGTGAACCCCAAACTTTCTCTGTGACTCACTATCTAGGTACCAAGGCTTCCTTTCCAAGGAATAAAACCCATTTTGTGCATGGTGGAAACCACTGGGAAAGCAACATAGTGCTCGGCTCTTACCCGTTTTGTCATGATCAACTTGGCATTCCGGAGCTCTGAGCCTTTGCACGGTGACTCTTCCTTTGGTCGCTTGACTGAGAATGGAGGAGAAGTTAGATGTGAGGGGTGGTAGATGTGCCTGTTCCTGGAAGCTAAGCCTGCTGGAAGGGCTGCCTAGTGACAAGCAGAATGCTAGGTCCTGGCCTATCTATTTAGAAGCAGCAGGGAAGGCAAGACACTGTGCACTAGGCAAGTTCCTCTCCCCGGCAGGACTCTTCTGGGTCAAATATATCTGATGGCGCCACCAGGTATGATGTGCCACATAGTAGATAGCCCTGTGAGACCCTGTGCTCCCCTCCTTCCTTGCCCAGTGTAAAGTCTGATAGACGGCTACTACAGAAAAGGACAAAAACTATCCTCAGTTACAATTCTGGATTCCTACTCAACTGCATTTCAACGATTAAAAAAAAAAAAAAAAACTGGGGTCCACCTCAGTGGCAGACCATATGCTTGGCATATGCAAGACTCTGGGATCCATGCCTAGAACCTCCAAACAAAAACACTAAAAAGAATCTAAACTTAAAAAAAAAAAAAAAAAAATCAAACCCCACAAAAACACTTTTCAGGCTGAGAAAAGATTTTTTGCCTCTGTCTCCCAGGCTGCCGTGAGTTTTCTCTTTTAAAGACATCTTCTCCAACTCATATTCCTCAATTGCCTTCAAAAACCAAAAGAAGAAGAAAAAACAGGGCATTAGAGATTGACGCAAATCCAGGGAAGGGGTCAGGGGTCAGGGATTAGAGCTTTTTCCTTACTGGCAAGTACCAAGTACCTCGTCTCTTCCCCCTGGGTGGCAGGGACCTCAGCCATCAGTGTCACTGACATGGTCACCTTGTATGTCATCAATACATCTCTCATACCAGCACCCCCGCATTATGCTGTCCTCCAGGCTCCCTTCTGTGGAGCACAGGGTGCAAAGCAGGGCCCTGCCTGCAACCCACAGACAGGTACACATGTGCAATCTTTCTATGAGAAGGTAATAATAATAGCTACCTTCCATGGTCCCTGTGGGGACCCAAGAGAAAGTATTCAGTGCGTTTTCCACGCCAGCGCAGAGCTGTCATACAGGCACTAACTAGGGGTTAACACCCTTGACCTCTCACCAGAGCCCACTGTATCTCTGATGCACCCCACCCTTACCATAGAGAAAGAAAAGAAAATGGAATGTTAGCGGCTCTCACAAGGGGCTAACTGTGCTTGAATAGAGTTCTCTGTGAAGTGCTGGGTGTGTTGCCCAGCAGGATGGGTTCTGGGCTGGGAGAGGTGGCCTCACAGTCAAGCCTGGTACAAAGAGATCAGAGCAGACAGGCCTATGTTGTGCACTCACACGCATATACGGTCCCTGCTGTGGCCAGGGCTCCTCTAACACCCATCGAGGCCAGGCATATGTCACACCTCATCTGATCCCTGTGAATGTCCTTGGGTAGGTGGATTATTGTCAAAGTCCTCTTCTGGCCTCCTTGGACACCTGACATACCTGGCATACACATACACACACACACACACACTTTAAGATACCACTGAGATATTTGTCATTAGAGGATAAACTGATTATGCTACATCCAACTTTTGGAAAACTATGAGGCCACTAAAATCATGGGTAGGGCAATAGTACTGACTAAAACAAAGTCTCCAAGAGAGGTATTTATTCTAAAAATAAATAAATGAATGAATAAATTAATAAAAAAAACAGGTAGTAAGAGAGTGTGGTAGAAGGTGTGTGACTTTTGTTTATGTTATATTTGTTTAACTCTGTGAAGCTGTGATCCTTTGCCTGTCTAAAACACCTGATAGTCCAATAAGGAGCTGAATGGCCGATGGCGAGGCAGAAGAATGATAGGTGGGGCTGGCAGACAGAGAGGATAAATAGGAGGAGAAATGAGGTAGAGAAGGAGAGAGAAAGAGAACAAGGAGAAGAGGACATCAGGGGGCCAGCCACCCAGCTACAAAGCCAGCTGCAGAGTAAGAAGGAAAGTAAGATTTACAGAAGAGAGAGATAAAAGCCCAGAGGAAAAGGTAGTTAGGATAAGTAAGAAAAACTGGCTAGAAACAGGCTGAAAAAAAAAAAAAGAAGAAGCAAGACAAGCTAAGGCTGGGCATTCATAAGAAAGAATAAGCCTCCATGTGTGATTTATTTGGGAGCTGGGAGGTGCCCCCCGAAAAAAAACTAAAAGAGCAAACACAACACATAAGAGTATTTACAGCATGATCATATATATATATATATACAATATATATATATATATATATATATATATATCAGAAAGAAAAAAAAATAAAGCACA